CACACACACACACACACCTTACTAAGTACCTTTCTGTGGTGAGAGGACAAAAGAAGGGCATTTTGTAAGGATGGCATATTCAGTGTCCTGGGTACAGAGAAGGATTGTTGTTGTTCATAGAGTGAAGAGCAAGGATACTGAGTAGAGCAGTAATGGATGGAAATGAGAAGAAGAGGCATTAGTAGAAAGTCATAAATCCATTATGAGAAGTTTAGTATATTTTAAGAGAGACAAATGCTTCAAAATTCTAAGGATATGAGGAAGATGCTTCTGTAGCTCTGATATATTAGTCAGGGTCCAGTCAGGAGACAGACACCACATAATCATTTGAACAGGGAAGGTCTGATATAAAGAATCATGTGCTTTAATAAAGGATTGGACTCATGAAGGATTGGTTATTAAGGTCTGGGATTTGATTCTGCCTATTTGCAAATTAGTAACTTAGCCTGATAATGTTTCACGGGTGCTGGCAGAAGACACTAAATTCCTGGATCAGAGACAAAGGGCTTTATTACTGAAGCACAGAAAGCAGCATGACTATCATCTCTGGGTTAATTCCCCTTGCCTCCCAAGTTCCCTAGGAGCAGCATTGAGGATCCCAGGTGGGAAGTCCCCTGATATGAGGAATCTCCTGCCTTTGGAGTAAATGGTAAACAACCCTAAATTTAAGCTGTGTCTCAAATTTTAAACTCAATGTGTACTATTTATTACTCCTCCCATGATCTGATTCCCTTGTTCAGCCTCAATTAAACTTCAGATTCAGAAGTTCAACAGAGACGTGGAAGTAAATCTCATGTTCTAACAAAAGGTCAACTGAGAGAGGCAAAGTGATGTTCTCTTCCTTTTCCGCAGGAACTAACAATAACAACAAAACCAACTCTGGCCATCTTAGACTATGACATAGCAGACTATGGACCTTTCCTTGGAGAAATGGAGGGGAAAGAGCTACTAAGTACTGGAAGGGAAAAAATGATTTATAGGGGATATCATAGAGCTGAACAGAGACCGGGAAAATAAAGAATAGTAGTTCGTAGTTCATGAGCGTGATTGGGTGCTCACGCACCTGTGTGGCATGTGCCTCCCTCGAACCTTGCTACGAGGTCGGCACATTACCTATCTGACATGAGAGAAAAAAGAATAGAGAATAAAATATTAAGATTTACAGGGCTTTGAAAGTCAAAACAATAGAGAATTGATCTAGTAAAATAAAAACTGAATAATTTAAATTTCTTTTTTAAAAAATCATTTTCCTTTCCTAATAATGCAATCTAAAGCCATTAGGTGGATCACGGTAAGGACTGCATCTGCGCTGGTGCTGAGGGAAGTCATGGTGGTCCAGTTTCAAGTATTAGAGTCCAAGTGGGGTGAAGGGGTCATCCTACAGAGGAGAGGGGTGGACTGGGGTAGGGTGTCAGACGCCAAGCAAGTTAAGGAACGTAATCACACAGGGGGCAGCCTGCATTGGAGAGTCAGAGCCTGAGCAGTGAGGAAGGGGTATGTGTGGAGAGGCTGACTCAAGAAAAGCCTAGAAAGAGGAGTTAGAGCCCAGCAGGGAGGGGTGGGCATCCGGGCAGAGAGGGGCTGGGGGGAGGGATTAGAGAGTGTTTGCATACAAGGGTGTGTTACTGAGATTTGTAATAAGAAATAACATATTTGATCTTCCTCCCAGTTTCTAGCACACAGCTCCTGAAACCTTTGGAATTTCCTGAGATGAGGGCAATTCGTTGTGTTAATGAGGTGAATTTTGGAAAGCACTAAGGATGGAGATTGGTAGCCAGGAGAACCAACTTAGTGATTAGTCCCACCTCCCTGACCTCAGGGGAGGGGAGGGGCTGGAAGTTGAATTAGTTGCAAATGGCTAATGGTCAATGATTTAACCAATTGTGCTTATATAATAAAACCTCTATAAAAGCCCAAAAGGATGGTGTTCTGAGCGCTTCCGGGTTGGTGAACAGTTGGAGGCTCGAGGAGAGTGGTGTGATAGGTGAGGCATGGAAGCTCCGAACCCTTTCTCCATACCTTGCCCTGTGCATCTCTTCCATCTGGTTGCTCCTGAGTTATATCCTTTTATTATAAACCAGTAAGTAAAACATTTCTATGAGCAACTCCAACAAATTAATGGAAACCAAGGAGGAGATTGTTGAAACCTTCAATCTATAGTTGGTTGGTCAGAATCACAGGTGACACCTGGACTTAAGATTGGTGTCAGGAGTGTCTAGGTAGGTTGGGGAGGGGCAACAGTCTTGTAGGACTGAGTCCTTAACACTTGGGATCTGACGATACTTCCAGGAAGTGTCAGAATTGAGTTAAATTGTTAGGCCACCCAGCTGGTATCGGAGAATTGCTTGGTGGTGTGGAAAAACCCCACAGACATCAGAATTGGTCCCAGAACCATTAAAGAGGGTAGATCAAGTTAGTGATTATATTAAGGATAATGAAATACTAGAATCTCACTGTTGGAGAAGGGAGTTATAAATACAAACAAGCAAACAAACAAACTAGAATGAACCCTGATAGTACTGAATTGGAATTGGACACATTAGTGTGAATTCAGTTTTCAAGATAGATTTAGATAGATACATAGATAGATAGATAGATAGATAGATAGATAGATATTCCCTAGCTGAGTCCACAGAGAGTCTGGGAATAGCAATGACCATACCCTGTACCCAAACCTTGGCTTCTAAATACCATTTTTTACTAAAAAGAATGAAAGATCCTTGGAAAAATGGCTAGTGCCAGAGATAGGGCAGGGAAAATACAAGGTGAACCTGGAACATATTATTATGCCAGTGAACGAGGCTGTGCTCAAAGAACGTTGGGGGCATAGCAAAAGAACATGAAGTCAGCTTCCAGGAGCTTCCACTGGCCAAACTGGAGCCAATTTAAGCATAAAATAGAGTCATAAACTATATCCCTTTGAATAAAATAAGAACCCATACAGATATAAAAAAACATACAAACTGAAATTTTGATGAGGGACAAGTTACTTATATAGTTTTAAAATATCTCCCCCCAAATATTCATTTATTACAAAGGGCAAAGAATAACTTTACAGTTGAGAAGTCTGGCAGATACGGCTTTAATCAAATGATCAAAGTGAACATCATCAGAGTGGGACAAATCAAAATTTTACATCACATGATAAGATGGGGTGAGACGAACACAGCATCACTTCTGTGACATTCCTGCCAAAGATGCACAATCTGTATCTAATCATGAGAAAATACCAGACAAAATAAAACTGAGAGTCATTCTACAGACTCAGTAGCCTGGAATTTTTAAACATGTTGAGGCATGAAAGTTAAGATTGAGCAGCTGATTGAAGACTAAAGAAACATGACAGTTAAATGCAATGCATGATCTTGGATTGAATTCTTTCACTATAAGGGACGTTATAGAGACAACTGTCGAAGTTTTTATGGTTCTGTGAATTAGATGATAGCCATGTGTCGATGTTAACTTCTTGGTTTGTATGGTTGTATTGTGGTTTTGTAGATAAGTGTCTTTGTAGTAAATATAAAGTATTCTGGGGTGATGGGCCATCATACTGGCAACTTAGTTCAGGGAGAAAAAAAGTTACTTTCTGTAACTTTTGATTGTTTCAAAATTTGGTAATGTGGTGTTTAAAAAAAAAAAAAGGCCCACTTTAGGCTTGACACACGTTCTCCATGTTCTAAGCGTCCTCCCAGTTTTCCACAAAGCAAATTTCCTGCCCTCCTCCGGAGTTCCTCAGAATGTCTTTATATCTTCTCTCTCTCTCTCTCTCTTTTTTTTTTTTAAGAAAAATTCACATTTATGGTGTGTTTTCAAGAAAAAACTTGAAGTCTGCAGCTACTTAATATAATATTCACATCTCTCCATCCTACTACTATGATCTTTCCTATTCTGTTTTTATTTTCCTTAATTTCTTCCCCTTCCTTTGGCATACTTCTCCTCTGTTCTTTTAGAGAAAGAGTTGTCTTCAATCAATTGTTTACCCTTGGAGGACAGGCCGAGAAGTTTTTAAATCACTTATTTTTGGGACAAGGACTATGCTTTGGTCCCTGCATGCTCATTAGTGAAGACCTAAACACCCAGTTTAAAAAAAGATTCAAAATCTCCAGATACAGTATATTCTTAGGTATATTCAGAATATAGGCAAGTCACAGCTTCTACTTAAGGCTCTTTATGAGACAAAAAACTTGGATCATGGGATTAATTAGAGCCAATAGTTATTTTATGACAAGCTTTGATCTGATTTTCAGAAAAGCTAGTTTTGTTTTATCAAGAAAATCACACTAAATGTAAAGATTTAATGTTTGTGCATAAGGTTTTTTTTTAATTAAGCATTTTTGTTTGTTTGTTTGTTTTGAGGGGGGAAGGGAGTAATTAGATTTATTTATTTTAATGGAGGTACTGGAGATTTAACCCAGGACCTCGGGTATGCTAAGCATGTGCTCTACCACTGAGCTACAACCTCACCCTAAAATTAACCATTTTAAAGTGAACAATTCAGTAGTATTTAGTACATTAATAATGTTAGGTAACAACCACTTCTGTCTAGTTCCAAAACATTTTCATAAAGAAAATCCCTTAGTCACTAAGCAGTTACCACCACCCCCACCCCCCATTCCTCCTTTTCCAGTCCCTGATAACCAGCTATCTGAATTCTGTCTCTGTGGATTTACCAATTCTGGATACTTCGTGTAGAATTATACCATTTGTAACACTTTATGTCGGGCTTCTTTTATTTAGCATATTTTTAAGATTCATCCATGTTGTAGCATGAAATGTATCAACACTTCATTCCTTTTTATGACTGGAATAACATTCTGTTGTATGTGTCTATTTCAGTTTGTTCACACATTCATGGACATTTGGCTTGTTTCTGCTTTTTGGCTAACGTGAAAAGTGCTGCTATGAACATGTGTGTACAAGTATTTGTTTGAATCCCTGTTTTTAATTCTTTAGGGTATATACCTAGGAATGGGATTGCTGAGTCATATGGTAATTCTACGTTTAACTTTTTAAGGAACTGTCAAACTGGTTTCCAAAGCAACAAAGACATTTTGCATTCATGAGTATAGGTTTTTAAGAGAAGTAGCCATCCAAATTCAGAAACAAAACAGGCTTTCCATCTGCTTCCTTGGATTTGGCAAATCTAGAATAAATCAATAGTTCTCACTCTGACTGTATACCATAGAGTTAAAAAAAAAAAAGAAAAAAGAAAAAAGAAAGAAAGAAAATACAGTCTTCATTTCTAGAAATTCTGTTTCAATAAATCTGAGTTGAGCCTGAGCCACCCGAAGTGATCCCCAAGTAATTCTAGTGGCAGTTGGGAGTCAGAACTAAAATGCTAACTCAGGGGAAGTAGTGCAAAAAATTCCCTCTAGAGAATAGGAATCATTAAATTGTCATGGATCCAGAGCTAATTTTAATTTCTTAATTTCCTTGGCTATTTGATTCATAGCCATGTATCTGCACATAGAATCATGCTTGACACAGAATTGGACAAAAATAATTGGCTTAATGTTGAATATTCAATTATATTTTAAGCTTAAAATTAATCATATATAATAGCAATTAATAATTTTTTAAACAACATTCATATTTTTAGCTACTGATGTTAGTTAGGAAACCAAAGGGAAATGTGTTCAATTTAGGATCCCTGACCAAATATTATTTTTGAATACACCATCTTTCCCTAGTTATTGTTATGCTTAGTAGACTTTCTTTCTCTATAATATTGGTAGGAAATTATTTCTTCAAGTGGCCATCATTTTAAAGTCTAGAAGTATAAATGATAAGTTGGAGCAAAATATAAGATAATCAAATAATACTGGCATTTACCGGAAATGTAGTGTGCAATAAAAACTCTCTATATTTATATCTACTTATTTTAAAATCTGAATTCTACCTAAATTTCCTAGTTCCTTTTTCTGTACTTAGTATTAAACATCATTATTTTTTCTCCCCAACCCCATACTATTTCTCTTTCTCTTCACCTTGGTAGCTCTCCTCTCTCTCTCTCTTTGAAAAAATATTTTCTGGATATTATAGTAAGTTATGTTACTCATTTTTTCCCCAGTATCCTTTTGACAAGCTTCATGAAATTTTTACCGGTTTTTATAGCAGATTCTGACAAATATTTTTTCATAATGCCATGCTTTTCCAAATAAATTAGTGGTTCCTGAAGATTGCTGTAACACATACTTATTTATGCTTAAATAAACAATCAATTTTAAGTTGTATAGTTTGTATTAAAAAAAAATAGCTTTGTGCTCTCTAGAATTACCCCCTCCCATAGGTTGTATAATGGATTGGCTAATTCTTCAGGGAATCTCTCCCAACAAGCAGACAACAGATCCTTTCCCAGATGAACAAGCTTAATCATGTTCCTGGTTCTTAAGTTTTAGAATGGGAAGCTGTTTTTCCCTTTTCTCTCAAATATTATATTACATAAGATTTTGTATTCAGGTGAGGATATATGTATTTCCAAAGGATACAAATATTTCCAGCTAAAAATTTTTTTTATCAATTTTCAAGTTCCAATATAGAAAAATGAAGCTGATAATTATCACTACAATGGTAATCATATTACAATATATAAATGTAGCAAACCAGTAAGTTGTACACCTTAAATTTACACCATGTTGTATGTCAAACATATTTAAATTTTTAAAAAGTGAAGCTGAGAAAGTTAAGTACATTATCTAAGTTACTAAGTGGTTGTTACTGGGTTCAAATAACCTTGTCTACATCTTCCACTGTACTTCATTACCTCTAAATAGCTTTTCTCCCTTATCTATTGAAATCCTACCTATTCTGTTAGCCTAATGAGAAAAACAGAACAATTAAAAACAAGAAACCTAGGCATTAATTGGGATCCCTGATTTATGTAAAATAGTAATACTAAATGCTTCTTGCAGCCTAAAAATAATAAATTGAGAAGTGACTTTCATAAGGCATATACTAGGAAAAGATTTGTTGCTTTGTAAACTTAATCAACATTAAAAAAATACAGACTGTTTTTAGTACAACACGTATGACAAAGGCTTCAAAAAGTCTTTTGTTAGGACTAAGGGTCATTGGGCAGTATAGTGTATATTATTAAATAATTTGCAGAAGAGCACATTAAAGTGGCCCACAAATATTTGAAAAGTTTTCAAATTTATTAGCTGTCAGAGAAATGTAAGTTAAAGTGACGATGAGTATCCTTATGAAGCAATCTCTTGTGGTTTTGATTTATATTTCCCTGATGACTCATGATGTTGGGCAACTTTGCCTAAGTTTATTAGTCATTCATATATCTTCTTTGGAGAAAAGTCTGTTGAAGTCATTTGCCCATTTTTAATGGGGTTATTTGTTTTTTTATTGTTGTGTTGTAAAATTTCGTTACATATTTTGGATGAAAGTCTCTTATCAGATAACTGACTTGCAAATATTTTCTGCCAGTCTATGGGTTGTCTTTTCACTTTCATGATGGTGTCCTCTGGGGGTCAAGAGTTTCACATTTTGATAAAGCCCCATTTATCTATTTTTTTCTTTTGTCATTTGTGGTTTTGGTGTTGCAAGATAATAGGAAGTAAATATATTGATCTCTGCCCCTGGTTCCTGGCACAGAGCTCCTGCAACTTTTGTAATTTCCTGGGCGATAGGAGTGGCTTTTGTTGTAATGAGGTGACTCTGGATGGGCTCCTGGATGGCTCCTGGATGGGGGCTGGTCACCAGAAAGACTAAGGCATGATTATAAGCTTGGAATTTTCAGCCCCACCCCATATTCTCTTGAGAAGGGAGAAGGGCTGAAAATGGACTTAATGATCTACCATGCCTACGTGATGAAGCCTCCATAATCATTGGGTTTACAGAGCTTCCAGGTTGATGAACACACCCTCATCGGGAGGGTGACACACCCCAAAT